CTAATGTCTGGAAATGCAAATATGAAACATGACTGAGGTGAAAGGAGAAACTTCTCCTCGAGTTGATGTACTGGGGTATCAGCAGATGGAGAACAGAACCCAGGCCCTGATAAGTGCCTGCTGGGAATCCATCCTGTGCTCTGCTTTGCCACTCTTTTGCTCTGTAAATCTCAATGGGGGCTTTTCTTCAGTTTTATTTTCTTGATTTTAATTTCTTGATTTTATTTGTTGCCGTGGCACTGTAGCTTACATGACTGGACAGCTTTCATGAAGTCCCTTGCGAAGTCTCAGCCTGGTGAGGTGCTAATTAAATGAAAGTTGTGATTAAAGTGGGAGAGGGAGGGAGAGTTCAGGGCTACCTCATTTGTACACTCGTTTAACTGATGGCTTCAGTGAAACTAAGCAGGAATGCTTCAAACACTTATGAAATCACAAAACTTCTGCTAACTCCTATTAGATAATTCTGAAAGTTTTATTGATTCTGTTGGGATGCATCCTCAAATGCCAGGGATGAATCTTGGGTAAGATCTCTTGGGTCTCCAGGAGTGTGTAAAAACAATAGCAGCTCCAAGGTCTTGGGTATAGAGTCAGTCCTTCCTGCCTTCAGCACAGTAACAAATTTCACCAAAACTGTCCTCATCTTAACTCTTCTCTTTTGTAGATGCTTTGTTTCACACTGCTGTTACCACTCTGCACAATTAAAATGGCCTTGTGACTGCCTGCTATTGAGAGCCAGCTGAAATTCTAAGGTCCAAGAAAGCTATTCAACAAATTTTTCTATTCATATCTCTAATCTCCTAACAGTTCCTGGAAGCATATTTCACATTGGCCTGTGCATCTTACTTTATAAAATCACTTCAGGTCACTCAGAATGCATCACTAAATTTCATGCTCTTAAAATTGTAATTGCAATAAAAAAAGGGTTATTTGTTCTGAGTCCTGAAAGGAAGAGACTCAGCCATTTGTATTCACCTGGTGCTTTGTAAACAAAGCTTTACCCTTGGGGTGGTCTATGTAATGTCTTTAGATGAAAATGGAGATCACAACTTGTTAGGTGGTAAGAGAGTCAAGTAAACGCCCTGCATTCTGAAAGCTTTATGTAAAGGACTTATATGTGTGTGTGTGTTTTTAGTTTTTTTTTTAAATTAATGTGTTTTTAAAATTGGCTGTAGAGCTTAATGCAAAAGCTGGTGGAGTAAGAAGAGTAACTTTGTAAACTGCTGAAAGGGCACGAGCTTCTCTTTCACTGAGGTGAAAAAAAGAAAAATGGTATACTGATTACCTTGGGTCTTGGTTTTGAATTTGCTTTGAATTCTGGACGAACTTTGTCAGTTGCTGGATTCATTTTTGCCATGGTACATATAAAAAAAAAATCCAACAATTTAGTATTTGGTTCTATATCTCAGCAGTATCTGGAGCACTGATAAGTTGGGCTGAACTAGCTTTGCTACATAAAAGGTGAGACAGGTGGAAAAGGTGAGACAGCCCTTTTGGGTACTTAGATCTGAGGCTGGAAGAAGGAGACATGGGGAGCCAATCAGTAATCAGAGACGGGAACCAAAGCAAAAATGAAGGGTCAGGACAGGGGCTTGAACAGGCACAGATCTCTCAGCTTCTCCTGGGGTGGAAGAAGCTTCAGAAAATCTGTGTTTTCTAGTCTGATTTACTCCTCTGCCTGGATTATGCATCCCAGAGATGCTGGTGGCTGTGGCCTCAATGAAACAAAAGAGGTTTCTTCACTTACCATGGCCTCTTAGCTGGAGAGGGTGGTTTGACCATTTGTAAATAAATCTTTGGTGTTGCTGCTCTTCCCTTTATCTATATCATCTAAGAACTAAGGAGTTTTATTCTGGTGTTTTAGAAAGATCAATGTAGGCAATAGGTCGAAATGGCACAGACAGCATGGCATGACAAAAGCCAAGAACAAATGTGAGATGGAATTTGGGAGTTCACTTTGAATCTGCCACTGTTACCAGAGTTTGGGTCTTGCTTTTTTATGTCCCCTGCTCCCTCCAGGACCTGCAGCTTTCCGTCATCTTGTCTTCTTAGTGATGGATATTGCATTTGCACAAAGGAAAAAGCCCAGCACATCATAGTGAGAGGAGGCCCAGTATAGGTTTTTTTTTTCCCTCAACACTGTTTTCAGGACCTGAAATCTGGTAGATACAGGGGCCCAGAGCTGTTACATGAGGACAGGATCGATTCAGTCAATCAGAGGGAAAACCTACTGTCAGGCTCCCAGACCTTTAACCTGCTCCTCAGAATTATTAGAACTCCCAAATCTCTTTGCAGGCCTTTTCTATTAGACAGATATTCCCATGTTTTGATTTTTTTGCTCCAGAAGTAATTTTTTTTATAATTACCTTCATTGAACTGCACTTACCATCTGTGAAGTGAGAGGCACTTAAATGATTTATTAGCCTGGGTTCCTAAAATGTGCTGAACAGCATGGGATTGATCTTGGCTAGTGACAACCACGGGATACATGACAATGGGTAGGTGGCCAGTGTTTGATGGAGCATCGTGCTGTGCTCTGGGTCTTGCTCTGGGGGAGTGTGTTGGCTCCCTTCCAGTTGTACAGATCAATAAAAGGCAGGTGTGCCTTGGCTCAGAAATACAAAGAAATGTCTTGAGGTACAGATCTCCTCCTGAAAAAAATATCATGGGGCACTGTACCTCTTGTTTCTGAGATAACTCCTCCAGAAAAGGTTCTAAAAAGCTTTTGGCAGCAAAGTAAACCTTTCTGGAGTAAAAAAAAATGGATTCAAATTTGTTCTTCTCTGTGTGCTGATTGAAATCCTGAAGGCTGATTTTCGTTCTTACTGTATTTCTTCTCTTGCAAGTAGTGTCCATGGAACATAAGAGGCTTTCACAGCTTTCCTTTAGCCTGTACAAGTGGTTAATGCTCAGTGGGGCTTGGCAGAGATAGCACAGTGTGGAGCACAAAGTGGGTCTAGCTATGAACATCACTGGCAGGAAGTGAAAGGCTGCAGGTGTAAGCACTGCTCAGGAGGGGAATGTGGTTCCTAGAGAAGCAGGACACGGGGAAGAGGAGTATCTGCCTTTCATGCAAGCAAAATCCTGTCTCTGGTAACAGGCAGGGGCTCCTGACTTACATCTCCAGCTGCCATCTCATCTGAGCAGAGGCTGTGAGACCCTGCTACTCACTGAGCTTCCTCTTGTAGCAGAGACTCACAACTTCTGCTGACCTCAGAACTCTGCAGGAGCTGAGATGAAGCAGCTCCAGCCCTTCACAGGGATGAGATGCCACCAAGCAGCTGATCTCACAGATGCAAGTGACTGCAGGTGAGCCAGAGCCTGCTCAGTGCAGATTGCCTGGAGGATCTTCACAGGAACATTGGCAAGGAAGAGGAGGATGCAAAGCTGACTTTAGTGGTGGGACCCTGCTGGGGGTTAAGCATCTGCCTTCCCCCTTCACTCAGAACAAGCTAACAGAAAAAATCCAATTCAGACACAGTGCTAATCTTTCTCTTCCCCACGCAGTTTAACATATGCAGAGAGACACAGGACTGAGCTTAGAAAGAATAACTAAAGGGATGTGTTGGTTCAATCCAAGCCATGGAATAGATTGGACCAGCACTAGGATTTCACAAGAGGGCTCCAGCTCTGGCTGTGTGTTGCAGTGGTAAACAGGAGCTGTACTGTGGCTGGCAGCTGGCAGGAGGTGATGTGTGAGGCTCTCTGAGGACAGGCTGCAGGAGCAGACAGCTCTGTGGCTGAAATGATGCAGGTTGACAGGGATCAGCTACAAAGCCACCCCAGGGCGTTTCTGTGCCCCCAGCACTCCCCTGCAGCCGTGGCAGTACAGCCCATGTGTGGTGTCCTGCTGGCAGGGCAGGCACTGGCACAAGGAGGCCACAGAGCTAAATCAGGCAGCAAATGAGCCAGGAGAGCAAAAGGAGGTGTGAGAAGGCTGGATGGAGAGGGTGGGGTTGGTAGGGAGCTCTTCCTGTGCCTTGGGCTCAGCTTTGCATTTGCAGGGTGGTTAAAGGCCTGGAGGTGAGTAGGAGGAAAGCCTCCCCATGGGAAGTTGTGCAGTGTGAAAGGTCTGATCTGAGCTGCTGAAATTTCTGGGATTTATGTGTCATGCAGAGCTGCACAAACTGGCACAGCTGTTACTATGTTTGTACTCTGTACTCTGATGATACTAATCCAGGTTTTGGAATCTGAGCATCCATGTCTATGTAGATACAGGACATTCCTCTGTCTTCTAGGGACTGCTCCTAGAAGCTCAGTTGCACCACTTTTACTTTAATCAATATAGAGCTTCACCTGCCAGACAGTAGATGTTGATGAATTTGCTCCTCCACTTTTTCCACGGTTATCTCTCCTAAAGCAAAGGTTCTCTTGCCTTGCACTACCTGCACTGTAGTTGTTTTTCCTCTATCCTCAGACAGAGGAATATCTATTTTTCCTATCCTTTGAACTTGGAGTTAGTTCAAACTCAGGTCTGTGTTTATGAGGGTCAGGAGAGGTCAGACTTGGTTACCCTAAGGAAGCACAGAAAGGAAAGAGGGAGAAGGAAACCTCAGGTAATGCTCTTCTCTGCTGGCTGATCCATCCATATGCCCTAAAGAGTGGCATGTGGCCAGACAGAGTTGGTGAGAAGCAGAGACAGATGGCAACCTGTGATCTGGAAGGAACACAGGGTTTTACACCCAGTCAGAGATGCTAAACCAGAGCCCTGAATACTCACAATTCTTTTGGTAGTTGACATCATTGGATTCATTATCCAAATATCAAGATACAGGCTGGCCTCTACTCCAAGGATTGATTTGGTTTCCTCTTTATTGAAAATTTGGCCTCCTGCAATAAAATGCTATTCCTTCTGACCTCCAAATGAATGAGCAGGTCCAGTCACAGTGGACAGCAGCCCAGAGGAGCCAAATGGTGAAAAGGAGAGGTTTTTGCAGGTGGCAGTTGAAAACTTTAGAGAATATTTTGGCCAAAACTCAGATCTTCTCTCTTTCATTTCACAGGTTTTCCTCTGGCCCCTCCTGGCTCTACAGCCTGGGCTGCAGGAGCTGATGTACCAGTGGAGTTGTGTTTACTCAAGAAATTGTTGCCAGCAGTGGTTGTGGAGTGACACAATCCATCCCATTCCTGGGTGAGTGATGGACACATGATTTACTGCAGCTGGGCCCTTCCTTCCCCTGAGCTGGGTCAGCACCAAGCTCAGGTGAGAGGAGCAGGAGGATTAGCAGATCCTTCCTGACCTGGGCAGGCCAGGGGTGAGAGGGGAGGCAGCACAGCTGCCAGCTTTATTCAGGTTTCCTTCCTGCTGCTCACTGTCCTCAGACTAGAGGGCTTGGGAGTTCAAGGGAGGAGAAAAAAATAACCAAAGATGTGAGAAATGGCTGAAGAAAGAAAGCAAAATATTTTTGAAGCTCTGCAACATCAACTCACGAACGCTGCATCTGCAGGGCACAACCCAGTGTGAGCTGTTCTTGGGAGGGTGGCTCACTTATCCTTAATAATTAAAGGAGTGATTTTTCCCTACTTGCTGCACTGAAGATGAGGGAGGTTTTATCTGTGCCCTGCTAACAGTGCCAGTGATGTGTTCAGAATGCTGTAGCACATTTCTCTGCACAGGCAGCAGAGGAGAAGGCTCGTGGCAATGGGCCAGAACCACTTAGATCATTTTACCAGGGACACACCAGAGACCAGGGAACCCCATCAAGGAGTTTGTGTTTCCAGTCTGTAGCACCCCACGTTGTGACATTCTATTTTACCCCCACCTCCCCCATTTCTACTGATGGCACCAAAAATCATTGTTGTCTTTAGCTATGAAAAATAGTTTAACTCAAGGCAGGGTCAAGCTGCTGTCAGCATACTCAGAAAATGTTTCAATTTTGTTTTGTCACCCTGTGAGTTGGAAAACTGCAGATCTAGGTGAGGTGAAGCCAGGATTGTAAACTTTATCTGTGAGTGTGAAATAAAATTGGATTTCCATGGATATTGGTAGTGTTGGGCTGTATCCCCCTCCTCTTTAATGTGCAATCCTGCTTCTCTATATTGGTTTTAAATAATTCCATTTTGCAAAGCAGGAGGGCTCAAGAAATTTCAAAAATAATGTAAGGCAAAATCAGGCTTTCATGCTGCTGCTGTCCATGGGATTCTGCTGCATCCTGGTGTGATTGTGGGTGTGTGTGTCCATGTGATTTTTTTGTACTTGCCTGCAAATACACACACCCCTCCTCTGTCTGTATGAATTGTTTATGTTACCCAAATACCTCCTAGGGAACTCTCTCTCTTTCTGTGGCTCTGGTACAATTTGTTATTGAAATTACTCTAGGAATTGTACAATCCCATGTTAAACACCCCCAGCCTGACACAGATACAGATGGAAAGCTGATGCATATTAAGAAGTGATGTTTAAGCAATTGTTTTTTCTGCTCTCAGAATATTTTCTCCTGATAATTTGTTTCTCAGGCCCTTTCTTGGACCAGGAGGAAGAACTGGATGACCCCATGTGGGGTTCCTTAAAACCTGTGCATCAGTAATTTTAAACAGAGTAAAAACTGATGTGTTCCAGCAGAGCTTTCCAGGTCCTCACTCAGTTCCACCCCTCAGACATGGGCCAGTCTCAGCTCGTGGTGCTGCTGCTGTGGCTGCTTGTCACAGATCCATCACAGCTTCTGCAGTGTCCCCGAGGGGCTGACCAGGGCCAGCATGGCCCAAGCTGATGGGACTGCTGGACAAAGGGCATGCAGAAACCAAGGAGACAAAGTGGAGAAGCTCCTCAAAAGAACAGTTCTTCTTGCCAGCAGGGGAGAGGTGTAAAGACAAGCTGTGCAGAGGTGAGAACTTGTAAACTCTCAGCTCCCCATGTCAGTCACCATTTCAAGTGTTGTTTCCTCATCTCCTGGGGCTGGACACCTGCTGATGTTAACCTTTCAGTAATATACTGCCCACCATGGCATGTTAGTGTATTATTTCTGTTTTATAGGATTAATGTATTTCCCAAACTGCCAGTCTCTTCTCCAGCTCAAACCACTTGCATTTAGCCTTTGTTCTGATGGCATGGGAAGTGTGTTGCATTCAGCAGTGACAACCCTTGCATGCTGAACATGACCCAAATGCTACTTAGAGGTGGCAGCATCTCCCAGGGGAGGTACTGAGTGCACCCAGGCACAAACCCTGCTTTTGTGCCTTAATTCTGCTGCCAGAACACTGCTGATGCATCTAGAATGGAACAAATATTAGCCATTGGGCATTTCTCCCAGAATATCTTTTCTTGTGCATGGAGAAAATCACCCCATATTTATCTTATTTGTGCATAAATGGAGTGGGTGGTATGTGGGGAGAATATTTCAGGTTGTCTTCTGTCCTCCAAATTTGTCAAATACACATTTAGCTGATGTCCTCACCTAATGAAGATATTTCAGATTTCCAACTTACTCGATTTCTGGCATTTTGTATCATTGGTTTGGTTTCCATAGTACTTTGCACAAATGGCACCTACTCTGTTTTCTGTTATCCTGTCTGACTTGTTCTGTTTCCTGCTGTGTCCTCTACATGAAAATACATAATTTCTGTGGCTTTGTCATCAAAGAAGCACTGGCCAAAGCTGTTTGTGCCTCTGCACATGTTTGCTTCCCTTGGCTCCTACCGGTTTGAGCTGTCCATAAGATTATTGGGCAGTAGAGCAGAGACATCTGTCCTTTTAGCATGAGCTTCCTCCCTTGCACAAGCATCCCAGTTCCTGACAAATCTTCTCCTTCAGCCTTCTTCTCAGCTAGGTATTAAACCTTGGTTTTTTTGCTTCCTTTTCCAGTCCTGCACAGTTACTGGGAGTGTTTTCATAGAACACTCCTTGTCTCCAGTTTCCTTTTCCCAGAGCCTTAATTTTCCTTCCAGGATCTCTTTCCTGCCTTTCTGTATAGCATTTGTGCCAACATGGACTAGGTTTTTCTGCAGTAGCTCCTGGAAGCCAGCTCAGGCTCCCGTGAGATCTGCTGCCTTAGCCTTGGCAGTCAAGTCCCCGTGCCACCCTCCCTGGAGTCCCAGTGCCAGCTGCCCCTCTGCTGATGGTGGCACTCAGCTGCAGGCCTGCCCTGTGCTTTTTCAGAGGATCTTTCTGTCTGGCTGTGGGAGAGGCTGGGTTCCAGGGGTTTGCTCCTGCATGGCACTCCTGTTGTGCTGGCTCTCGTGTCTCAGACCTGGGTCCTGCTCAGGGCTGTGCATTAAGGCTCAAGTGCCTGAGTCACTTTCTTGAGTGCTGGCACGACTGATTTGAAACCAGAACCAATGGAGTGATGCCCTGATTGCCTTTGGCAGAAGGCCTTGGCTTAGCAGCCCACCCTCTGTATTTTGTGACTCCTGGAGCAGTTCTTACCAGGCTGTTCTCCAAGCAGAAACCTGCAACTGATGGCAAGGCTCCACCTTGCCTGCTCCTGGAGGTGTCACAACCTCACCTCAGCAGCCCTGTGTGGCTGAAGTCTGATATCTCCTGCTGCAGGAGGTGAGCTGGGCTGTGACCTGAGCACAGGGATGTGTCCAAGGCAGTCTGGCACTCTGGTAGTCACTGGTTTTCTGCAGGATTTGTATTGTTTTGGGATTTCTGACAATGTTCCATTGGGTTGTATGGACTGTTGATTTTTTTAATGAGCTGACCTGTAGTCAGACATACCTAAAGCAGATCCACTTAATCTAAACTCAAAGGTAGAATTTGTGGTCTTCTCTTGTTTACAGTCACTTCAAGGTGTGCAGGATCCTCTGTTTTCTGTGACAAATTTATGTCAGTGTGCAACTGTGCTTTTTACATTTTTCTTCCCTTTTTATCTGTATTCTCTTCCCTTCCTCCAAGCTGCAAACTATGTACAGAGTCCCTTGCAGAGTCCTACCAGCCTTGAAGGCTCATTTGAATTCAGCACACCCCATTGTCCTGCTGAGTGTTCTATCAATGTGCCAACTCTGCTGTATTAACCCAGGAGCAGGGGAAACTGCAAGTCAGTCAATCCTTGGGCTACAACAGGTTTATTTTATTTAATGAATTTTGAGTCATTTTATGGTAGAACTGGGCTGCAATTCCAGCTGAGCCCTTTGTAGCCTGCACATTCCTCTCTGCTGCACACCTCTGGGGTGTGCAGCCAAAAATGTAAATTAATGAAGACAAAGAGGAGACATGTTCCTGACATGGCTATTCTTCTCTCTTGTTAGGGCACTGATGCTCAGGCAGTACTCAGGAGAAGCTGCAATATTATCACTTCCCTCATCAGAATAACCTTAGTCTTTTTCTTGGGGAGTTCAGTGGCAAGTAGCTATTGACCAGCTTAACATTTTTTAGAATGTCTGTCTCTCAACAAAATCACCATTTCCTTCAGTACTTTGCTATGCAATATCATAAATTATCTCGTAAAATGTTTTTTCCTTCTAGACATATATAAAACCTTAAAGGTATCTTGCTGGAAAAATAAGTCAAGAAACAATGAGCCAAAATCAGAGAGATGCACAACTGGCATATGTCTGTGATGGTGGTCCAAGTTGATTTCTTTTTTAACTTTGCCATGTTTCTCTGTCTCATGTAATCATAAATAAGTTAAGTACTTTGCAATCTGTAGAATGTGTTTTTTCACATGACCACCATCTGGGCTGCTACTTCTCTGCCCTGTTGTACCTCTCTGTTTGGGTTACTGATAGTTGTCTGTCTGGTACTGTTTGATTTTAGCTTTTTCCCTTGGTTCCTTAACAAGTTACAAGTAAACACTTTCCCTAATTTTATCCTCGAGGTTTACACTTCTCTTAGCCCTAACAAATGTATCTGAATTCTACAGTTTATTCCTGTCAATACACTGTGTTTTGCTGTTAACAAGTGTTTGTCTACAGGAGGAGATATCAGTCAGGAATAACTCTGGATTATCACTCCATGGAAGCTCCTTTGCCCTTTGGAAATGGATGCAGGGTATTTGTGCTGTTATTCCAGAATCTGTGTCTTGCCAGGGAGCCTTCAGACATACTTAATTTTCCTCCCTCGTATTTGAACTCAGTGCCCTGTGTTGAACAAGCCTTAATTTCAGCCTTCACCAAACCTGCTTTCTCTTTCAGCTGAGATTATTCTAGGTGCAGTGGTACCTGAGGTATGGTGGAGATCCATCTGTCAGACTG